AGACCAACGACTCATAGCAACGACCACTTACAAGTAAAGATGTATGGACTGAAAGGTACACTGTGTGACTCAATGGGCCGTACTATAGCTTCCACACTGAGAATTATTTGTTTGGTTGGTTTTTGGTTGTTCTTTTAAACTTTGTTTTGTTTTGGGGGGAGATTGTAAGGGCAGAGGGCCGATATAAGGGGACCTGGAGATGAGTGGGATCAGGTTGTATAATGTAAAATCCACTAACCAACCAAACAACCAATTTGTGTCGCCCATGTACTCACTGGAGCATGGTCAAACCCCCCAGTGCCAGCCTCTTAAAGAAAACAAAGTTCTTCCCCACTCACACCCCTGCCAAAGGCCATCAACAGTGAAGAGCTACACTTCATCATCTTTATCACAATGCCTTTCCAACATAACATTTTTATTGATTATTTGTGAGTTTCACATAATGTACCCCATCACATTCACTTCCCTGTCTTTCCAGTCAACCCCAACCCTTATGAACTCCCCCCCCAAAAGAAGAAAAGAACAAAAAAGAAAGAAAAAAAAAACCAAGTCCAATTTGTGTTGCCCACTCACTGGAGTATGGTCAAACTCTCAGTGGGCAGCCTCTTAGAGAAAACTGAGTCCTTCCCCTCCCACACCCCTGCTAGAAGAGCTTCAGGATTCTTGCCACGATTTTTAAGAGTTCTCTTCAATGGCTTCCTATCTAGTCTCTCTCTCTCTCTCTCTCTCTCTCTCTCTCTCTCTCTCTCTCTCTCTCTCTCTCTCTCTGGTGAGGGTGAGGGAGAGAGGTTGTCATAGATGTCTTCTATGTCTCATTCTCAACTGTGAGTCTTCAGTCATCAATACCTCTGCAAAAGAAGCTGCCTTGCCCTTTACAGTCAGTGGTAGCACAGATCATGGACTTCCATATGGTTTCTGGTGGCATAATGGACCACAGACATCAACATGGCCTCAAGCATCAGCATGGACCATGGACTTCAGCCTGCTCTCTGGTGGCAGTACAGAACACAGATATCAACATGGCCCTGGGCTATAGCATGGACCATGGACTTCAGCCTGCTCTCTGGTGGCAGTACAGAACACAGACACCCACATGGGCCTTGGCTGCAGCATGGACCATGGGTATCCACAAGAACCTTGGACATTAACACGGCCTGGGGTGACAGCACAGACCACAGATACCAACATGGCCTCCGGGGACAGTATGAACTATGGGGGTCTTTTGAGGAGGCCCAGTTCAGAAAATGAGTCATTCTCTATCTTGGACATCCTGTTGCTGTTCAGAGCCAGGGTGATCATGCAGCTGGGCAGTGTGTTTGGGTCAGAACCTGAAAGAGCTCCAGGCTGGTGCACACCATCCTGTCTTCCCTACTTGGCAAGGACACGTTCCTCCATCCATTGCAGCCTTCTCCCACACCCGTCACCATCTCATCTCTAGTTCTGCCTCTCTGCACCACACACATGTTGTTCTGTTCCTTCATCTTTCCCTCCTCTCCATTGCATACTGCAGTTGTGATGTTGCAACTGCAGTGTGTCACACAGTATATATTTTTCGCCCAAACAGCTTTATATACAAATATTTGTTGTACCAAGTCATTGGTCTGGCTCAAGGTTTCTAGTTTCTGAAGTACCACAAATACTGGATCACTGCTGAGACTTGCCTTGGATATCCTGCTGTTGTCCAGAGTCAGGGTGTTGTTGTGGGTAGGCAGGGTGTCCCTGGCAGGTTCTGTGCGAGCTCCTGGGCTCCTGAATACTGCACACCTCCATGCTCTCCATGCGTAACCACAGTGGCAGGCATGTCAGTAATGACATGTTTCCGAGGGAGCTCTAGGCCACCACACTCTACCCTGACCTCAGTGCCTACCACCCGAGGATCAACAGGCACAGCTGTTAAGCTTGTAGGCTGTAGGCAGCACTGGTGACCCACACTTTCTGTCTCTCAGCAGGTAAGCGAAGGCTGCAGCCACAGAGGCTCCTTGCTGGGAGCTGGTCAGTGAGCCTAGGGTCGGCCCTATTCAGTAATGCCACTTTCTTTGTCCGCAGTGGCTGCACTTTCCCATATCACTCCATGTCCTTCACTGCTGTCGGCCATCTTTCCTTGCAATTTCGTGAGTCTGCTTTTTATAAGCACCTTCCCATCAGACCTACCTGTTCATAGTTGTTCTGGAGAAACTGTGGGCTCTTCAGACTCCTTTTTATTGCTCTGACTCCTCTATGGCAGCTCACAGCTGATGGTGAGGGCAGGAGAGGGCACAGGCTTGGTGGTGGCATTTCTCATCTGTGCACCGTGTCCTACATGGCCACTGCAGGTCGTCAGCTGTGGCCTGATGTGGTCTTTCTTCAATAGCTTTAAGAGCAGCAGTGGTATCTCCGGGGTGCAGGGGGGTTGGTGGTGGCCCGAGCTCCCTGGTGGCCCGAGCTGACTGGCCCGACTAGGTACCAACATCCTCTTTTGTCCGGTGCAGCCTTGCTCCCGTACCCACAGTGCCACCGCGCCTCTTGTTCCTCTTCTCTCCACCGCACACACTGCTCTGTTCCGCCTGCCTAGGGTTTTCATTCCTATTTCTATACCTTGACTTTCAGGGAGTAAAAGCACAGTTTTGCCTAAAAAGTATAGTATCTTTCTCATGCTGCTAAAGTTACACAGACCTGGTGACCTAAACAGCAGTGATTATTTTTGTCCACAGTACCGAAGTACAGGGTCAGGGTGTCAGCTGGTTGGCTTAGTCTAAGGCTAAAACAGAGAATTGATTCTTGGCTTTGCTCCTTCCTGAAGACTGTTTGGCAATCTTTGGTGTTTTTGGCTTGTAGATGTGTTACTCTGGTCTCTGCCTTCATCTTCATATGCTTTCTCTTCACATGCTGTCTGTCTCTGTCTAGATGTCCTTGTTTATAAGCATATAAGTGATATTGGAATAGAAGCCACTCTATGAATTCATCTGAATTTGATCGTTTGCAAAGACTCTATTTCCAGATAAGGTCATGTTCACTGGAACTAGAGGTTAGGGCATCATCATCTGAGAGGATAAAATTCAATCCATTAACAGTAACTTGTGAGATAGTATACTTGAAAACTCATTAGTAGTGGTTTTATATATAAGTTTGAAGTTTGTCAAAGCATTGTTATAACTATATGGGTGTATGCCAATTGATGAGTCACATATGAATATTTGTTTTTGAGACAGGGCTTGTCCATTCTTACAAAAACTCTATACACACATAATTAAAAGGAATTTTCCATTTGGGCTGACAATTTCCCCAGGAGCCGTAGACTAACAAAAAGCCCAACACCAGGTATGAATGTTGAATTGTTGGCCACTGTTGAATTGTTGACCTCTTTTGAATTGTTGGCCACTGTTGTCCAAAAGACTCCTAAAACATTATAGGCTATTGCTGTTGCCCCTGGCTACCCCCAAAGGCAGAAAGTAAGCCCCTATTGCTGAACACATCAAATACTTCAGACACAGGACCAGAGGATCCAAGCTGCCTGCAATCTGAAAGTCTCTTCCCTGAGGACCAGCTTGTATGGTATCAGAAAGTGCCACACATACTTCCAAAGGAGGAAAGCAAACAACGGTCCTATCCACACCCAGATATGACATGTATGAACTGTAACAATGACCCGAATTGCATGTTAACACTGAGAGTGCAGTAGGAGCAGGCACATCTTGTTGATAACCAACAGCTCTCTAATTGGACTTAAGGCCCACTCGACAGGAGAGGAACCCAGCCAACTTTTCAGGGCTAGTGAAGTCATGGGTCTTGGAGGAGAACTTACAACCGCCACTTTTCTAAACCAGCACAATCCCTAACTACATTCTAAATATTTGTCCTTATACTCATAGGTAAGTGTAGTTCTAGCCCCACATCAAGGAAACTTCTCTTTGAAACATATGGAGACCATTACAGAAAACCACAAGCAATCAAAATACAGAGTTGTGGAGCTTAGTCTCAATTGATAACATCTACAATGCAACTCTTACATTTAGTATTTTTACTATATCTTTAACCAGAAAAGCATGACACATGGCTCAAAGATAGACATTATTAATACTTCTGAATCATCATATAATACTTGTCAAGTTCTTGACACATTTTTTCACTGAAGATTATGTTACACATGTTTTATAAAATAAGTTAGATCCCACAGTACTCTAAATATACATCTGAACGGAAGGTCCATTGGGTAGCTAACCCGGTGGTCATTGGTTGTGTCACTGTATTTTATCGTTAGGTTGAGCTAGCCTTGTCTTGTGTGACACAGCTCTTTGCCACCAGTCTTGTCCCTCCTATGTTCAGGCTGCTGCCAAGGCATTTTCAATGATCACGTTGTTCTCCTGGCTCTTCTCTGTGAGCACAGAGGTCTAGCTTGCTTGTCTATTGGGCACTTCCACAGTTCTTCTCATGCCATCTTCTCCCTTCCCCAAAGGTCCCTGATGTTTCAGAACACTATGTAGTCTTTTTCACTGCCCCAGCTTCTCACCTCTTCCTGCACAGATGACCTTTGTCCCACTTCTTCCTCTTTCCGGCTAGTGCTTTCTTAGTATTTGTCTCAAGTGGTATTTCCCTCAGAAGACTTGTAAGCCAGATTTGCTTTCTTTTCATATCTGTAGTATTATGTATAAAACTTATCTTAGAACAGATTACAGAATGATATAGAATCCTGTTTTCATTCTTACTAGACTTTAAAAATAACATGGTTAATTTATTCTTTGAGAATTTAATACCAAATGTATACAATATTTTGATCATACAGACTCTTTTGTTCAGTGCTCTGCCAGGTATTGTAGAAATTGGAAACCAAAGGGAGAACCGTCTTTAGAGTTTGTAGCCTAGAAGAGGACTACCAATGATTTTAATGATTTGGAGGATGATGGAGAGGGACATTATGAATACTTTGTTGATAAAGAGAATATACCTGAAAAACCTTTAAACATGTAATTGTAACTGAACATGTTTTTACAGTGCTTTACAGCTAACAGTTTATTTATTTGCAGGTGGCCATGGATTTGCATCACAGGTTGCAGCAGAGGGTTTGGATGCTCTTCGCCTGTGCCTTCAAGAAGAACCCCGGGCTTCGTTTATGCTCACTGCTAGGTTCTAGTATGACACCCCAATTTTCCACTGAACTCTTCCTGCTCACGCTGAGAAGCTTGGATATGATTTGGCCTCTTGTTTTTGTAAGTAGCTATACATAGCTAATACATTTTTTCAAAGTACATTTTTTATTGGTTTTTAAACTGTATATTTTAACGTTATGGGTTGTCCTTAAGAGTCACAGGTGCCACTCTTTTGATCAAAGGCTTGTCTTTCTAAGATTCTCCTCCATGGTTACAGTAGTAAAATACATAGAATATATTCGCTTACTACAGACGACAGCTATTTCAAACTTTTCAGAACACAGAAGGGCAGCACCCTAACGGGACATTTGCCCTCACTTGTACTAATGACAGAGACTTGGCATTGGTTCATTGATTTTTTCAAAGTTTCTTTTTTGAGACAAATGTTTACTGCTACTGTTCTGAAGTTGTAAAGTAAGCTCTCTTGTTCACAGAATTCTCAAACAGTGCTGTGCTTTTAGCACTGTGATTTTGAGTTGTATTTGTTAACTGCTTCTTAAGGATTTTTAAAAGTTTTTCACTTGAATATATTTATGTAATATAGAGGTATAACATTAATTTTACTTGCAATGTTTTTCAGTAATGTCTTATCCTCTCCCCAACCCTTATGAAGCAGTTAACTAGAAACTAGTAAAATTCCACTTCAAGAACTGGTAGAAGCACTTTATTACACAACTTCTGTATTAAAGAGAATAAATACAGTAGCTAAAAATTAAAGTATTTTTTCTTCATGAAAAGTGGGAATATTTTTCAGAATTCTGGGAAATGTCACAGTAATTTTGGCTGTAGTCATTTTGCATTTAATGCTATTGAGAATATTGCTAACATTAACAAAAATATTCTGTAATTTTCCCAGTTATTGCTGCTGGTGATGAGGGATGTGAAGTTGGCATGCATCCATGCTTTGAGCATTACCATTAGACACATCTGATTCTACATGTCAGAAACAGTCTTTTTTAAGGCAGCTGAGAACATTTTCATCTGGGGGTAGAGGTTAGGGTTGATTATTCCACATCTGTATCAATGCTATCTTAGAGTATAATAAATGTACCAGAGTAAGCACAACTGTAATTTTTCATGTCTTAGACAAATTTTAAACATTTCTGTGATTTTCTGTTTATTAGAATGTAGTGGTTTAGAAACAAAGGTGACTTTTATTCTATATTAATTATTTTATCTTTTTTTTCCTGTGACATTGGCAATATTCATTTTACAGATAATAAGCTGTTGTTGAGGAAGCAGCTTTGACAATAGAAGTAACCAACTAGCAGGTCCATGTCCACTGTTGAAATCAGCTGGAGACTCATCGCTGCTGACAGTGAGTCAGAACTGTATTCATACATGAGAAATACCATGAATAGTACTCTGTTCAATGAGACACTGTTGGGATGTTGAAGTATGGTACTTCATTAGTTGAGTATAAACAATAAAAATAAGACTGAAAAAGAAGTGGGGTCTGGGCAGATGCCTAGTGGTTAAACTAAAACTATTTGGGGCACAAACCTGAGACCTCACAGCAAAGCCAGGTGTGGTGATGTGTCTGTAACCACAGTACTAATATCGAATGGGGGTTCACTGGTCAGTGGCTAGTCAAAATGGCAAGCCTCAGGATTACTAAGAGAACTTATCTCAAAAAATAAGTTGAAGGGATGGCAAAGTGGTTAAGAGCTCTGACTGATCTCCCAGAGGACCCACGTTCGATTCCCAGTACCCACACAGGAGCCAACAACTGTCTGTAACTCTAGTCACAGGGGATCCAATGCCTTCGTCTGCTCTCTATGGACACTGCACATACATTGTGCACAGACATATGTCCAGGCAAACACTCAGACACATAAAGATAAGTGAAATTGCAAAAAATTAAAAAAAAAATTAGATGGAGGGTGATTGAGGCCTGCTATCAACCTTTGGACCTTGCAAAATGGGTTTTACACACACACACACACACACACACACACACACACACACACACACACACATGCACACAGACACACACATTTTAAAAAATGTTATTGCTTAAAAGTTTTTTAGATGATTAGGCTCAATATTTTTGTTATTAATTTCATTGTATTGTTTATATCAAGTCCACTGTGAATCTTTACACTGCGCCTTAGGGGTTCAGTTGCTGTGAAGAGACACCATGACCAAAGCAAGGTTTACAAAGGAAAACATTTAATTTGGGTGGCTTATACTTTCAGAGGTTTAGTCTAGTATCTTCATGGAGGGAAATATGGTAGCATGCAGGCAGACATGGTGCTAGAGAAGGAGCCAAGAGTTCTAGAGGCAACAGGAAGTGACTTTGAACATAGGAGACCACAAAGTCCACCCCTTAGTGACACCCTTCCTTCAATGAGGCCACATCTACTCCAACAAGACCACATGTTTTAATAGTGCCACTCCCTTTAGGGGCCATTTTCTTTCAAACCACAGCACATTGGAACTAGATTCTGGGAATATTGTAATACAACAAAAGGTAAATTTAACTTATAAATTTGAGTTTATAATGGCTAGAATAACTCCTTTATGGCTATGGTAATTAAGTATCATTATCTTCTTAGATCTAGGTTAATTGTTTCCTGTCCCTTATTCTGTCCCTACAGCCATCATATGGTAGTAACACTTCATCCGAGGTTATGGATGAGGAGCTATGATGCCAAGATTTTAACTATATAAGATCAATGGCTGGTACAAGATCCAAACTCTGAACTACTACCCTACAAATCCCTTCTTATAAGTGCTGTATTGAACTGCACGAAGCTTTTATGTAAACAAAATGGGATGGTTTCAGTCCTTAAGCCCAGTCTAGAAAGTCAAAATGATTAATTGTAGCATAAAAGTGTGTCTAGCCCAAACTTCTTCTGTTGTGACCTTATTTGGACATAAATTTTGATATTTTTCAGCATACTAGGTACTATATTTAGCATTTTATATTTATATAATCATGTGTATATGTCTCATGAATTCTTTTTAATATATTATAAAATAAGTCCTGCTATATAGTCCAGGCTGCCCTCAGACTCAGGATCTTTTGCCTCAATTTGTTTATCTCAGAGATTCCAGGCATATACCACCATACCCACCCTACCCTGAATTCTTTTCTTTTTTAAAATTTTCTTTTGTTTTCTTCAGATTATAACACAATTGCATCATTTTTGCCTTCCCCTTTCTCCTTCCAAACCCTTTCATATAATCCTCCTTCCTCTTTTTCAAATTCAGGGCCTCTTTTTCCATTAATTGTTGTCACACACACACACACACACACACACACACACATTCATATTCTTTTCTGTTTTTGTTGTTTTTGTTTTGTTTCTTTTTCTGAGACAGGGTTTCTCTGTGTAGCCCTGACTGTCCTGGAACTCACACTGTAGACCAGGCTGGTCTTGAACTCACAGAGATTCATCTGTTTCTGCCTCCCATGTGCTGGGATTAAAGGTGTATGTCACCACCAACTGGCCTACATCCATATTCTTAAATACATAAATGCGGCTCGCTCAGTCTGTATAATGCCATCGGCATGTGTGTATTCAGAGTTGCCCAGTTGCTATGGGTGAACTGGAGTGCTCTCACTGAGGAAGACTCTGTCTCCTGCTCTCAGCATTCCTTAGCTGCCTGTAGTTCTTTGCCTAGGGTTGAGGCCTTGTGGTCTTTCTTGTGTCTACTTTCGTATATCTACTGTTGTTCTTATTTGTGTTTAGGTAGTCATGTTGGTGAGATTTTATGTGTGTGGCTTCTGACACCAGTAGGAGATGCAACCTCACAGCAAATTCCCTGATTCTGACTCTTACAATCTTTGGGCTCCCTTTTCCACATTGACCCCTGAGTCTTAGGTGGGGAGTTATTCTGTAGATGTATCTGTTGAGACTGGACTTCACAGCGCTGCCTCTGATTGGTTGTGGTTTTCTGTAGTTGTCTCCATCTGTTGAAAAGAGAAGTTTTATTTATGAGAGGTGAGGACTACACTTATCTGTGGATATAATGATAAATGTTTAGAATGTAGTTAGGGATTATGCTAGTTTAGTAAAGTGGCAGTTGTAGGTCTCTCTAAAACCAATGACTTCACTAGGTCTGGTAGCTGGCTAGGTTTCCTGTACCAGTCATGACTTACCTCTTGTCGAGTGGGTCTTCAGTCCAGTGAGAGAGCTGTTGGTTACCAACAAGGTGTGCCTACCACTACTGCACCCTTCGGGTGATCATACCATGCTGATTATTTTTGTGGTTCATAGGCATCATAACTGGTTATGGGTAGGACTATTGATTTCATGTCAGTTTCTGGCTGGAATTCTTCAAATAGAACCTTAATGGTACTCCCTTGGTATATTTAAGAGTGTCTTAAATATCTGCTCTACTCTTCAAGTAGTAGAACTGGTAGTTAATTCTTAAGTTTTCTAGAGGCTGACATTAGGATTATGGAATATACATTTAAATATGAGACAGGCCATCTAAAATAGTAGTTAATTGGTCATCTAGCAGGTACATCATGAAATATGTATTGTTTGACTATTGTCTTAGTTTGGATTACTATTATTATGATAAAACAGCATGGCCAAAAGCAATTGGGGAAGCACAGTTTTCTTGGGCTTACACTTACACATTGTGGATTCTAATAGTCTATCATTGAAGAAACTCAGGACAGAACCTCAAACAGGGTCTTAACCTGGAGGCAGGAGTTGATGCTGAGGCCATGGAGGGGTGCTGCTTACTGGCTTGTTCCCCATGGCTTTCTCAGCTTCTTTTCTTACAGAACCCAGGGCCACCACCAGCCCAGGGATGGCCACACCCACAATGGGCTGGGTCCTCCCACATCAATCACTAATTAAGAAAATCCTCTACAGGCTTGCCTACAGTCCAATATTTTTTTTTTTCAGGTTGATTTGTTTATTTAATTTTTTTCATTTTATATACCACCCACTGTTCCCTTTCTCTCCCCTTCTCCAACCCCCCTCCACCTCCCCATCCCACCCTCACCCACTCCTCATAGGCGTTAAAGTCTCCCTTGGGTATTTAACATAGGCTGGCATACCAAGTTGGGGCAGGCTCAAGCCCCTCCCTGCTGCATCAAGGCTGAGTAAAACATGGAACCCTAGGGAATGGGCTCTAAAAAAGCCTGTTCATGTACTCTGGATGAGTCCTGGTCCGGTTGCCAGGGGACTCACAAACAGATCAAGCCACACATCTGTCACCCTCATTCAAGGGGCCTAGTGTGGTCCCATGCAGGCTCCCCAGCTGTGAGTCCAGAGTCCTTGGGCTCCCACTAGCTTGGGTCAGTTTGTCTCTGTGGTTTTTCCCATCATGATCTTGTCCCTCTTGCTCCTATAATTCCTCCTCCCTCTTTTCAACTGAATGAACTCCAGGAGCTTGGTCAAGTGCTTGGCTGTGGTTCTCTCTGCATCTGCTTCCATCAGTTGCTAGATGTAGGTTCTATGATGACATTTAGGATAGTCACTGATCTGAGTACAGGGGAAGGCTAGTTCAGGCACCCTCTCCACCATTGCTGAGTCTTAGCTGGGGCCTTCCTTGTGGGGTCCTGGGGATTTCCCTAGCACCAGGTTTCTCCCTAACCCCGCAATGGCTCACTCTGTCAAGACATCTCTTTCATTGTTCACCCACTTGTCCCCCCTCGAACTCGGCCATCTCAAGCTCTCATGTTCCTACTCCCCAAACCCTCCCCTCTACTTCCCCTCCCCAGTTTACCCAGGAGATCTTAACCCTTTCCTCTTCCTGGGGTGATCCATGTGTGTTCCTCTCAGGTCCTCCTCTTAGCTTCTCAGGGGTTGTGGGTTGTAGACTGGCTATCCTTTGTTTTGTGTCTAATATTCACTTATGAGTGAGTACATACCATGTTTGTCTTTCTGGGTCTGGGTTACCTCACTCAGGATGATTTTTTTCTAGTTCCATCCATTTGCCTACAAATTACATGATGGCATTTTTTTTTACTGCCGCGTAATACTCCATTGTGTAAATGTACCATATTTTCTTTATCCATTCTTCAGTTGAGGGGCATCTAGGTTGTTTCCAGGTTCTGGTTATTACAAATAGTGCTGCTATGAACACAGTCGAGCAAACGCCCTTGTGGTGTGGTTGAGCATCTTTTGGGTATATGCCCAAGAGTGGTATTGCTGGGTCTTGAGGTAGGTTGATTCCCAATTTTCTGAGATACCACCATACTGATTTCCAGAATGGCTGTACAAGTTTTTGCTCTCATCAGCAATGAAAGAATTTTCCCTGTTATCCACATCCTGTCCAACATAAGCTGTCATTAGTGTTTTTGATCTTTGCCATTCTGATAGATACAAGATGGTATCTCAGAGTCATTTT